TGTGTTGAGGGAAACCATAAATGTGAATCTCATACAAGAGCTTAAGAAAAGATTAACCATGTTTCTTACGTTAGTATTACCGAATTCTACTAGACACTTTGTGATATTTTATGATGCTTTCAAAATGGGATTAAGATGTGTTTTTATGCAAGATAGAAAGGTAGTTACATATGTTTCTAAACAATTAATAACACATGAGAAAAATTATCCAACTCATGATTTATAACTAGCCGTTATTGTTTTTGCACTCAAAATATGGAGACATTATGTGTATGGTGGTAAATTTGAGTTTTAAGTGATCATAAGAGCCTTAAATACTTGTTTGATTAAAAGGGGTTAAAATATGAGATAGAAAAGATAGATAAAATGTTTAAAAGATTATGATTTTGAATTACATTACCACCTACACATATATAGTGACAAACACTTTAAGTAGAAAATCCTTACATGGATCTTCACCAATGATTTATGAGATGAGTCTACTAGAAACATCAAATATACAAATTCACCAATTATAATGAACCATGATAGAATAAAATTAAAGTCAATTCAAATTATCACTGATTTTTATAAAGGCAAATCCATAAGGGTTGGGTAAGTGATGAATTCATTCAAAAAAAAAAACTTGATATGATAAAAGAATAGAAAATTTTTTGGCATAGATAAAACATACATTTTGAGATGTAAGTGGTAGAATATGTGTGCCTAATGAGATTTATCTCTCATTACGTAATGATCTTATTTGATTTATTTATTTATTTCAAGTTACACACTTTCCTCTTTTATATCTTATATTTATTTATTTATCTCTACTCCCCTTTTATATTTATTTGCAATTACATATTTATCCTAACTTTATATTTATCTTCAGTTATGTATTGGTCTTATTTTATATTATTTATTTATCTTTAGTTTTACTCTAGTCCTCTCTTATATTTTCTATTTATTTATTTACAAATACATATAGCCACTAGTATAGAAATCACTTTTAACATCGGTTCTTTAAGAACCGATGTAGAAAGTGAATTCAAGACTTTCAACATCGGTTTAGTTAGGAACCGATGTAGAAAACACTTTCTACATCGGTTCCCGGATGAACCGATGTAGAAAGTCTTTTTATAAAATTAAAAGAATTATTATTGGCGGGATTCGAACCAAATACATTAAAATTAAAAACTAATACTCTAACCACTAAACTACTAGGATTTTTCGATAATAACTTATAAATAAATTATATTTATATACAAATAAAAATGTATATCCATGTAAATATATAAATATAAAATATATAAATACAAATACAAATATATTTATATATTTATATGTTGGATGTGAGAGCACGCTCGAGAGTGAAAGTGTTTGTCAAGTGGGTTTTCAAAATTTGATGTCAAATTTGTGAACACGTCTCTTTATATGAATTTGTAATTTAATGATAGAATATAATCTTTATAATTTATTTATATAATGATATAAAATAAAGAAAAAAAAGTATTTTATATCATTATATAAATAAATTATAAAGATTATATTTTGTCATTAAGTTATAATCCATATAAAGAGACCCGCTCACAAATTTGACATCAAATTTTGAAAATTCACTCGACACACACTTTCATCCCCGAGCGCGTCCTCACATCCAACATATAAATATATTTATTTTTGTATTTATATATTTTATATTTATATATTTACATGGATATACATTTTTATTTGTATATAAATATAATTTATGTATAAGTTATTATCGAAAAATCCTGTAGCTTAGTGGTTAGAGTGTCACCTCCGACTCTAAGGTACTGGGTTCGAATCTATATTAGACTTTCTACATCTGTTCCTTACAACCGATGTGGAAAGTCACATTTTCTACATCGGTTCTAGTGAGCTTATTTCTTATATTTATTTATCTTGGTCTTCTTTATTTATTTGTTCATGTATATTATTTATTTTATTTTTAGTTATACACTAGTTTTTATTAATTTATATTTATATTATTTAATTTATTTATTTTTTTAAATAATATTTTATTTATAAAGATTTGATGACATTCTAATTAGAGGTTGAACCTTAGAGATTGAAATAAGTAAATATCAATAAAAAATAATTAATTTAAAATTTTTTTTATCTTGACTAGTCGCTCCAAAAATCAATTCAAATATTTTTAATATAAAATAAATGGAATGTGTTGATGAAATTGAAAAATTAATTTTGTATATTTACTTAGATTATAATGTTTTATATAATATTTATTCTCATTTCTTTATTTTATCTCTTGTACATTATATAAGTAAAAATATAAACCTAGATTGATAAAGACATTAAACTTGAAAATAAATATCATTCATAAATTAATCATGTTTAGAGAAATCATTATTATAAATTTTAATATTCATTTTCTAAACGAAAACAATATAAATTTATAAATTTTATATATTTATACATATACTATATAAATAAATATATCATATTTTTATCAAAATATAATAAAAAATAATCACCTCTTAAAATATAATTAAATTAATAATTTAATACAAATAGACATCTGAAACAAATAAATATGTTTTTTTTAGAATGTTATGCATATTGAACTTATAAATACAGCCTAAAGAAAACAGAGACTATGCATTTCTAATTTAAGATTTATAAAATTTTAATAACTTTTTTTCCTATTAAACGTTATTTTAACATTAGTTTTGTGATATAAATACAATGTTTTTTTTAGTTTATTTTTTAATATTATTTTCTTAATATTTTGTTATCAACCTTAAATACATGGATAGTAGGTTTATTTTCTTTTTTTTCCTTGAAATTTGATTTTAATTTTTATATTTAAAAGATATTACATCGGTTCTAGTGAGCTTATTTATTATATTTATTTATCTTGGTCTTCTTTATTTATTTGTTCATGTATATTATTTATTTTATTTTTAGTTATACACTAGTTTTTATTAATTTATATTTATATTATTTAATTTATTTATTTTTTAAAATAATATTTTATTTATAAAGATTTGATGACATTCTAATTAGAGGTTGAACCTTAGAGATTGCAATAAGTAAATATCAATAAAAAATAATTAATTTTAAATTTTTTTTATCTTGACTAGTCGCTCCAAAAATCAATTCAAATATTTTTAATATAAAATAAATGGAATGTGTTGATGAAATTGAAAAATTAATTTTGTATATTTACTTAGATTATAATATTTTATATAATATTTATTCTCATTTCTTTATTTTATCTCTTGTACATTATATAAGTAAAAATATAAACCTAGATTGATAAAGACATTAAACTTGAAAATAAATATCATTCATAAAGTAATCATGTTTAGAGAAATCATTATTATAAATTTTAATATTCATTTTCTAAACGAAAACAATATAAATTTATAAATTTTATATATTTATACATATACTATATAAATAAATATATCATATTTTTATCAAAATATAATAAAAAATAATCACCTCTTAAAATATAATTAAATTAATAATTTAATACAAATAGACATCTGAAACAAATAAATATGTTTTTTTTAGAATGTTATGCATATTGAACTTATAAATACAGCCTAAAGAAAACAGAGACTATGCATTTCTAATTTAAGATTTATAAAATTTTAATAACTTTTTTTTCCTATTAAACGTTATTTTAACATTAGTTTTGTGATATAAATACAATGTTTTTTTTAGTTTATTTTTTAATATTATTTTCTTAATATTTTGTTATCAACCTTAAATACATGGATAGTAGGTTTATTTTCTTTTTTTTCCTTGAAATTTGATTTTAATTTTTATATTTAAAAGATATTAATTAATCTTCAAACTTAAAAACTATATAAATTTAATATTTTTCATCTTTATAATAATAATAAAAAAATGTTGATATGAAGAAAATTAACATTATATTAAGATAAAAATTTATTATCAAATATTAATTTTACATATAATATTAATAAATTAAGATAAATCATTCTATTTAAAAATATAAAATTAAAGAAATTAAAAATATAAAAATATTTTTTTCTAAAATAATATTATTAAGTGAACCCACTGTACCATTATTTCTTAGTTAAAATTTCACACAATAAGTTATAAAATTTAACGTTAAAAAATATTATAATAAAATAGAAAACCACCCTACTTAAACAACTTAATATATTCAATATCTGAATTTAATGAATAAATTAATATATTTAATAAATAAATTTAATAAATTTTGAAATAATTTAGTTGAATAAAAATATCAAGTGATAGATAAACGAGATTAACATGCTTTTTACCTATATTATGTTAATATTAAATAAATTAAATTTAGAAGTTTATTTCGTCTTACAAATTTAATATTATTTTTTAAATAAAGCTATGTATTTTTATTAATATTAGTAAACTGTGACTCTTAATTAATTATATATATATATATATATATATATATATATATAATATGTTATTTGAAGATAGTATTGATTTATTTTAAAAAATAATTATAAATGAAATGATAATGGAATAAATTAAAATATAGTGAGATAAAATATGGATTCATAATCATTCCGTATAAAAAAAAAAACAAACAAAAAAACACTTGCATATCGGAGTCTTCGTCTACACCCTAGACTTTGGTCTTTATTTTCCTCCATCTTCTTTCTCTCCGGCGCCTCCTCCCTAGGCCACACCCACGCTGCCACCACGTCTCCTCCCTCTCACACCACGTCAGTAGTCATCAGCGCCAGCCAGCACCGAGACGCCGTGAAACTACTGGCCGACGTCTAGGTTGGTCCTCCGTTTCCATTCCTCCTATCTATTCAGTGACTTTTTTTGTTTTTCGTTCTTTTGGGTTGATCTTCAATGTTTGGCACTCTGATTCTGATTCTGATCTTTAAGCTGACTCTGATTCTGGTTTGGTATAATTACTGATTTGATTCTGATTTTTGTTTTCTCTTACAACCGAGAAAGAAATTAATTATAAAGGTAAAAAAACATATCATACTATAAGAACAAAACTAGAGAGCTTCCCTAGGGAATGAAAGATGCTGAACATCTGCTTGTAATATTGCATATAATTCAGCAGGAGGCAAATGAAATTCCTCCAACTGATCATGCTTTGTTGAACCTAATTTTTCAAGGCAAATTGCTTTCCGAACAGTGCGCTCCATAGTGCACCTTCAATTTTTCCCCATAAATTTTCTTATGAAAGTTATCTCATTACAGTAATGATGAGTCCACTTTACTCTATTATTTACAGACTTCTCTGCTGTTTTTGAATCAGAATAGCAAAGCACCTTTCTAAACCTGCATCCCATCACAGTTTCATAGCCTGGAGAATTGTAACAGTTTCAGCAAAAAGTATGTCCACCATCCCTACATGTTTATAAAATTCATAATTCAGATTTTTTTTATTCCTGCACAGACCTTCCCTGCCAGCTTGGTTGGGATCACTATGTACACTTCCTTCAACATTAACTGCATCATCTATTGGTGCAAATCACCTTATCTAATACCAGGATGATCAGGCATAGGCTTTCATAAACCTTCTTTACTCACTCTTGTAGATTACGCACTCTTGAACTAACTTCCAGTTGATGATTTCTTTCCTTCAAAAATAAGTTTATTCCGATCTCCCCAAATACACCATATGGCAATAGGAATCACCAATCCTTTAACCATGTCCTCATTACTTCATCTATTTCAGGTACTTTTAAATAATTTAACCCACGGGAAGACCAAAAATTTACCCCATGTGGACATTTAAAAACACAATGACTAATATCTTTCTTCTACTTGAGAGCTCCGAGGACAAAATTTTCCTTAATGGAATGACAAGATCACACTCTTTCCATATTAAGAACTGTGTGTTGGCAGGAAGAAGAGGAAACTTCCAAATCCATTACCAACTTATATTTGAAGATGGAATGTGACAGTTACCTGTAAGCCAACTATATGCACTTTTGTCGTCTGAATATGTATGAGATAAATCTTGATTCCAAATCCACTCATCCTACACTTCCTCCACTACCCTTGGAGTAATTTCCTTAATAGATTGAGCAATATCACTAGGAAGATAAGTATACAATTTAATCAGATTCCAAGTACAATTTTCCCATAATTCTTTCACTTCATAGCCCACATCATGGATATCAACCACTAGGAACATAAGCAGCTATCGTTTTTCTAAATAGCCATGGATCCAACCAAGCTTCAAACTCCCCATTCCCAATCTTCATTTTAAATCCATCTTCCAAAAATTCTGAGTGCTTTAACAATTGAGTTCCACATCATGGATCCTTTCTTACTCTTATTCATGAATAAACTCCCCTTCTTCAAATATATGCTCAATATCAGAGATGACCAGAGACTACCCTCAGGGTGTAACAGTTCCCATGCTAATTTGCCTGAAAGTTCTAAACTCTGCTCTCTAGCTCTTCTAACTTCTAGACCTTCAAACTTCTTTGGCTTGGTAATATTCTTACACCCACCATATGCAGACTTTTATCCTGAGCTCCTCTCCATGTAAAGCCTCTTATAGTGTTATCCTGTAAGTCACATATGTATCTCGGTTACCATTGAACTTGCATTCCACATTCCAGGTTTATTAAAAAGCCCACTTTTTTCAAGCTTTCAATTTTCATTTACTTTTTCAATAAGATAGATCTGTGAAGTCTGCTCTAGTGACTCTACCATTGTATATAGTAAACCCCAAGTACTTATCTAGTTTTTCAATAAACTGAATATGATTACTGTGAGAATATCACTCAGCTTGCGAGAAACCTCCATTGAAGTAAATATTATTGATTTCTAAATTTTCATACTTGAGAGTTAGCAAATTCTGCTTTTGTAAACATTAAACATCATCTGCAAAAAACAAATTTGAAATGAAAGGCCCTTGTCTAACAATCTCAATTGGCGTCCAACTCCCTTCAAGGATTTCATGATTAATCATATCCCCCAATCTTTCCAAACACAAGACAAAAAGACAGGGTGACAGTGGCTCTCCCTGTCTAATGCCTCTAACCTCGGATTGGTCCACTTATCCGCGGGAGAGTTGATATGGGCCCTAGAAGAAAAGTCCATTTATTTCACAGGCCACATTTATCAGTCTTATTCAAAAAGCAGCCTTCATGATTGCACATTTAACGGGTCGGACTGATCCAAGTATCCAACCCTATTAAAGCATACAAAACTTATCAAACATTAAGTTTTAAGATTAAATTTTAATATTTTAACTCTTCCCTTTGTTCTGTTCAATTTTCAAGTAGTGCATGTTGTAATTCAATAGGGATAATTAAAAGGTAGATTGATGGAATTTCTCTCTATGGGATTCACACCTCCTCATGTGTAGTTCTAGGAACCAAATCCCACTTTAAATGGTGTGTTCATGAAAAGTTGCTGGATTTTTTTAGTAGAAAGCTAATTGGATATGATTTGTGAATGTAAAGATAAGTTAGTCACAATGGCTTATTTTTATCAGAGAAGAAGCTGTAGGTTGTTCACGTTGCTGAATTCAATTGAATTTGTTTTTGGTAAGTGCAGGAAGAAATTTGAATTTGAAGAAGAAAGATGGGAGAGAGGAAGGTTTTGAACAAATATTACCCACCGGATTTTGATCCCTCCAAGCTTCCCAGAGCAAGAAGGCCCAAGAACCAGCAGATCAAGGTTCGCATGATGCTTCCTATGAGCATTCGATGTAATACTTGCGGCAATTACATCTACAAAGGCACAAAATTCAATTCTAGAAAGGAAGATGTTATTGGCGAGGTTTGTTACAAGTTCAATTTCAACTTTTTCGATTTTTGGTACCTGATTTTTGTGTAATTTGATGCATATTTTAAAATTCTATGTTTGTCCTTTTGGAATTTTGTATTGGGTTCTTTCAATTTTATGATTGATTATGTTGCTGTTATTAAGCTGTTAAAAATATTAGTAGTAGAATTCAGAGGTTCAAACTTTGTGTTATTTGATTCCAATAATGACTTTGAGATTGTATTTTTTTTTTTTTCAGACATATCTGGGAATTCAAATATTCAGGTTCTACTTTAAATGCACAAAGTGTTCAGCTGAAGTTACCATGAAGACTGATCCACAGAATTCGGATTACATTGTTGAATCTGGTGCAACCAGAAATTTTGAGCCTTGGCGTGCAGAAGATGAAGAAGCAGACAAAATGAAGCAGAAGAGGGATGCTGAAGAGATGGGAGATGCGATGAAATCGTTGGAAAATAGAACCCTGGATTCTAAAAGGGAGATGGACATCCTAGCTGCGTTGGATGAGATGAAGTCAATGAAGGTATTCACTGCTGTAACTACAATGTATATATTTAATGATGAATTAAATTGAAGCCTGTGCATAAATGATTCATATATATTTAATGATGAATTAAATTGAAGCCGTTGCATAAATGATTCAATATGGATGTGAGCATTGTAATTGTAGAATATGCTGCATTTTGATGTAAAATGTGACCTTTCACACCATTTGTTTTAATGATTACTATTTGTGTGAACACAAAGTCTGTCTATGGTCGTTGCTAACATTACTCTTTCTTTTACCAGTCTAGGCATGCAACTGTTTCTGTTGATGAAATGCTCGAGGCTCTGCAGCGCACAGCAGCTGATAAGGTACGAGAAAACGTGTCATAATTATTTTCTCTAGAAGAAATTTTGTGTTTAAAATAAGGGTTAATTATTATTGATCACAAAAGGAATATATACTATTTGAAAGTTTTAAGCTTGGTTTTAAATGTAATTTATTGGTAGCTGTTCCTTGATCAAATAAAATATTTGTAAAGTTAGAAAATTTAGGCCCAGAGACAATGAAGTGTTTAAAAACTTATCATTCTCTTCATAGTCCATTCTTTTTATTTCTCAGTTATGGTGGTTGAAATGCATAATAATTAATAAAGTCATACATATCCTTGGCTATAATAAAATTTAACTGTTACTGTATATTACTAAATTTCCCTCAATTGAAATACTCAGAATTTTAGTATCCTATTATTTTCTCTCTCACATGGTAATAACAATTTTAAACTTTAAAAAATGGTTAATGCCTCACTATTTTTTTAAAGATATAGATAAAATAGAACACAAACCATCATCCAAAATGACAAAAAGAATGGAAGGAGGATATGTAGAGTCTGTCAATGGTTGTGTCAGCTTAATTTCTGCGGAAAACGTGATTTGATACTAACCATTCCAATTTTTGGGTTCTCCCGTGAGAACATTTGTTGTAACTCCAATGCATGCCCTTTAATTGCTATCCTGAACTTAATTATCACAAGACAACTAGTTTAAACATTTATTGTCTATTATTTGTAATTCTAATATTGAGCTATGGCATAAACATGGTATATGATTTTGAATTTAATTATCACTTTCCTCCTTGACAATTTTAGTTAATTTATTATGATTTCAGGAGAAGAGACTAGAAGAAGAAGATGAAGCACTGATAAAATCAGTTGTCTTCCATGTAAGTATTATTATCCTGCAATTCTAGTTCTCCTTTTTTCTAGTTTCTTTTTTTTTTTTTTAATCGACCTTTGTTTCTGAATCAATATGTTTTTGCTTTATACTATCTTTAACAGAATTCAGGAGGTTATGTCAAACGAATTCGTGATGAAGATATTGAAGTTGATGAGCAATTGGATCAGCTTTTAACTGGACATGGCGAAACATCCCGTTCTAATCCAAAGGTATGATGGAATCAAGTGCATGTGTGTGGTTGAAGTGATTGATTTTTCTTTAATGTCTTGTTGGCGTAATAAATTATAACCATCATTATTAAGCATTGTATCTATGTGCAGAAGCAAAAGGTTTCTGAAGATCATCCAAGCAAACCAACTGACACTCTGACAAAAGCTAGTTTGGATGATTCTGGCAAAGGTATGTGAACATCTTTTAATGTGATTATCAACTAGATAGATACCTAAAACTTCACCGATCCATAATATACACTGAATTTTAAATTTCTATTGAGCGGATTGACATGAGTGCAGATAAATTTGAAGAACCATAATTGTGTATTTTATCAATTGATCTGATTTGTCTCTAACTTGGTAGTATCAGTCAAAGATCCCAATCCACATATTATCCAGTTTGAGATTACACTGATGTTATATAGGCTCCCGCGCCTATCAAATGGAAAACATGAGTTGAGTTCTGCACAATTCTGATAGTTGTGGAGTCATGTTTTTAGCACTAGAATGATTTGCTGAAAGGGATAGGTGGAAGATAGCTACGCAACATTCGCACCTGCATGGTTTAATTTTGATTATGTTATGTGGCTATAGTTTGATTTTTGATTTATTTATCCGTTAATGTTTTTCTTGGAAGAGATAGTTTGATAATACCCTCAATTTGCTATGTAAACACATTTAACTATATGTTGATTATTTGCAGAAAATGCACGTGCGGGTGGAAAGCATAATTCTTTAGTGAGGATTTCTGTCACTAAGAAACCAATGACCTTTGACGGTAAAAGTCCTGCACAGCCTGAACAAATGAAAGTGGAAGATAATAAAACAAATATTGCCGGTGGACTACAATCTTTGTGTCAAAATTATGGAAGTGATGATGAAGATTAGTAGTCATTAAGTATTGAATGACTATTTGTTTAACAGTTGCTCTTATTGGATAGTAATTTGTACTTGCGATTACTGGGTCTGGATCTGGGTGTCGTATATTTCTATGACTAGTATAGAAAGACGACCCAGTTTTCAAGTTCTTGAGGAAATTTGTAGAAATCCTAATCATGACTAAAGGATAAAGGAGGAGAATGGAGGAAAAGAGCATAAATTTATTGTTCTGTGTAATTCCGTATTAAATATCACATCAAGTGTAAAATTTGATTATTATTGTATTTTTTGTAACCATTAATCGTTCAAAAAATGTGAATAAATATAAATTAAGTATTTCATACATGGACTGCCCTATTGGGTCTAAAATTGATAAATCAAAATTTATAATATTTAGAGTTTGAGGAATGTTAGTAACATTGATGAAGTTTGGTGGAAATGTTTGGAAATTATAAATTGTTAGTACCGACGTATTTAATAAACCACTTTCATAACTGTCAACTACTATAGTGTGCTAATACTTGGAAAATTTTTGCAGGCACGGACCTATTCCCTAGATATTTTGGGTACTGTTACCTTGTAAATAAGGAATGATCGTCTTGTGTCAGCAGTGAGAACTTTTCAAGTCTTATTTAAGAAACAAGTTTCATAATTTTTAATACAGAGATCTATGCCTTGATTTAAAACTGGAACTACTTTTGCTTGAGAATTAACCATAGTCGCAAGATTAATCAGCACAAATGTAGCAAGTTCGCTTTTATGATTAATGACAACTAGAATGTCTACGCAACCTAAACGAGATTAATTCATCTTGGAATTAGTAAGCATAGAAAACTTTCTTCTGCAATCCCGTGGACAGTTAGGCTATCCCGTTGAGTCTTGCGCTCAACTCTCCAGATATTATTTTCATCTGTTCATAACTTTCACAAAATTGGAGTTGTTATTTTTGTTCGCTGTCAAACCTGAATTAACAAGAAACGAAACATGATATTGAAGACATTACTCCAAAGTAGTGTAGACTGAAGAATATGCCTAAAATAGGCATTTTAAGTAAAGTGTCTTCATCATATCTTCAGGAGAAGTGAAATATATTATCCATATTTTCAAAAAGTTCATTACTTAACATCACTACTACCTTGCACAGGTCATGCAACAGTAACACTACACGCATAATGGCCTTGATAATACCAGAAATGACTACAGATGGCAGAAGATGCAAAACAGTAAGCAAATGCATTTGCAGTTTCTGCTTCCCTCAAAACATGAGCTTAGTTAAAAAATACTACTAATTCACTCACTGAATATAATGCAGAAATCACTTTTGGCTCTTCTTTTTCCATAAATCACCAAACATTCTAATCCCAGAACCCTTCCTCTTTCCACCTCCAAAACCATCATCCAAGTCATCAGCCATACCAGGAGATCCCACATAACCATTGTACCTACCAGCAGGTGTCTCAAACGTTCCACCAAAGTGCTTATCCATGGAACCACACCTTTCAGGAATCCTTGCACTCATATCCATACCCCCAGCAAGCACTGCAGCTGCAGCATCTGCTGCCTTTCTCCATTGCTCAGTTTGCACCCTTAGCTTCTTCATCTCTGATTCTAATCCCTCCTTTTCTGCTTCCACAGATTTCAACTTCCCATCCAACTTCTCTGCATTGGCTTTACTTGCTTCCAACTCTTCTCTCAGTTGGTCCAACTGCAAGGTCATTCCTTCTTCCTTGGTTTGAGCAGCTGACACTTTTGAAACTGCTTCATTCAGTTGGTTCTTCAGATTCTCTTTCTCATTAGTAATGGACTCTAACTCCTTCCCTTTCTCTTCCAAACTGGATTTCAACAATGCAATTTCATCATTCTTTAGTGTCAGTTCATGTTCATCCACAGAAGGTTTTTCTGGCATTGATATTGCTAATGCATTTGAGTCTTCAAATGGTAGAGTTTCCTTTTCTGATTGATCTGCAGTTTTGCTGAATTCAATTGTCAACTTCTCGATTGGAACTTCAAACACATCAGTCTCTTGTTGGTTGTCATCAGATATAATATCTTGGGGTTTGGTTTCAGATTTGTTGGACTCCTGGGCATTCTTGGAAGTGCTTCTCTCTTGGAACTTCTCTACCACTGGCACTACTGATTGCACAGCTTTCTTCACTAGCTCATCTTGAGCTTCTTTCTTTGCAGCTTCAGCAGAAGCTAGCTGGTCCTTCAAGACTTTCAACTCTTCTTGTGCTTGACCAAGCTGAGATTCCAAATCTGCAATGCGAGTTCCTAGCTTCTTCTGATTTAGTGTCTCAGACTGAGTACCTCTTGGCGAACGCCTATCTCCTAGTTTTGGACTTCGGTCAGCAATTGGCCGATGATGCAATGGATCAGAGTCAGAACTTGATGTCCGAAGTTGATGTGGACCTCGTGGAGACTGCCTCTGAGGCAAATCAGATCCCCTGGTTGAAAACAAAACTTCTTTAAAAAACTATATATAGAAAGAAACTACTAGTTAACTTAAGATTGGTATGAAGTTTGCTGGCCCTTCTCATCGTGGGACACAATAGAAACATGATCAAATGCATTCTATACAGAACAAACCACATGTTTCAACAGTCTTCACAATGGATATGTTCATCCGTACATTGATCATGTACAGACATTGAATAAATTTTCTACTTAAAAATTTTGGTTGTAAAGTTAGGTGCTAAAGAATAAATTTTATCTAACATGCATGGCATGATATGTTAATGCCGAATTTATCAATATCAGTGTGTGACAAGAAGCACTCAAAGAGGCTCAATAACATTCACTAACCAATTTGACTAAAAATTTAGCTGGCAAGTGAAGACTCAGAATGTTTTCATCATTAACAGATATGATATATTTCAATTAATCATAAAGATTTTATTCTGAGGAGAAGATGGAGAGTTGAAATTATAATGTGTGGATAGGTCAATAAAATTGGAACCAGGAAACAACCAAATATAAATATGAATTTGTCAAATGCACCACAACTTCCTATATGCTGCAGAGATACCTTACGAAGCACTAAGAGTGACACGCATTTCTTGGTTGATGAACAAGAAAAACAGTGGGAGTACATAAAATTAAGTTTATTAGCAATCAGAGAAAGTGTTGTAGAGAAACCAGTAAATGGAAGCAGTGGAATATTATATTACTAACGGATAAGATTAGCACACCTTGATCTTGGCATTTGATATGCTTGAAGATGGAACACTGAAGGATTTCTTTGCTAAAAGAGTCTCACCTGACGAACAAAAATGTAAGTTCAAATGAATAAACTGTATGACCCAGTGAACCACATCCAATCTAGAAACCCTACAAACATGAAGTATACATAATTATATTGGCAAAAAATGGGCAGAACCTGCCTATACAAATAAATGCACCATTTATAATTAACGAAAGGGGTAGAGGAGTAGGAGCATGGAACCTTTTTAGCAAAATGTTGAACAGAAGAGAAACGCCAATGAGAAAACATTCTTCAAGATTTCACTAAAGTTTAAGTTTCAAGCACTTAAAAGCAAATGGAGCACTTTCAAGTTTAATAGCAGTTAGGCTTTTATATTCCTCCATCTAGCCTCAACCTCCTCCAACACATAGTTAGGTAAGAGAAATAGAAAGACAGAGAAACTCGCAATGGCCATGTACATTTATGGCCTTGAACCCACATTATCATAAAGGAGCCAACTCACTACAACCGTGACTATTAAACTAAAAGGCAATTGATTTAAACCCAAGATACCAAAATTTTTCTTCCACTACAAACTAGGAAGGTAGATGACCCTTACGGAAATATCATGAAGAGATAAAAAGATGAATAAGGCTGCCCCCACACTGCACACTGGTCCTGTGTTCAAACAATGACATGCTATAAAAGTATGCCTTTAATACCACCCCAAGAGCAAGAAATCATGCAGAGTCAGAGCCTACTTTATTCAGTGCTTTTTGCTTTGTTTAAAAGCAAGCTAGTGCTGTAAATTTTGCATTTCATGTTTTACAGAGTAATTGCAACCTAATACAGACAAGACCAACGGTCCACAGTTTAAAACTCAATACATAAATACAAAACAACCACCCCAAGAAAGGCAAAAAAGAATTTATGTGACCCCATGTATATAAGCAACCTGATACTCCTTGCAAAGAAGTAACTATTTCACTTCTCCATTAATTGCACCAGGCCCACCACACATTCAAGTGGTTGTATAATGGAGTTGAAAGAGGTACAACTCAAATAGTAGTCATATCGATGCTTTTTACCTTGGCTTCTGAGTTGTAGTCTAAAGTGGTTTGATGTTCATGGGCCTCTTTTTGAATCAGGATCTTAGAATGATGAGAGCCTAATAGCAGCATCAAAGGTTAGTTCATCACAAAGAAAGGTGAATCATTGTAACTCAAACAAGCTTGTTAAGAAAGAATTACTAGTTAAGCAAAAGTAAGTTCTTGAAAAAAAGTGTTGTGAAGAGGTAAGTAGAAAGAAGTAGGTAAAACAATTATTGAAGGAAAATCAGTGGCAAGATCTTGTGTCATTTTGAAAATCGTGAGGACTGACCATCAGAGTCCAGAAAAAAAAAAAATTGTAATGTTGGAGCCCACAGTTATTTGGTAAATATCTTTTGTTTATCTCTTTTTCCATTATTTATGTGCTTCAAGTGACACTTCACAAAAATGAAAATGATAATCAGATGGTAGAATATCCTTTCTCTCTGAAACTGTCTATCCCTTTTAGGAAATCGAACCCATCAAGACCCCACATTATAAAAAGGAATGGCACCACTACCCCCATGGTGGATACATATGCATATGAAGAGAGAGATTCAAATCATTGTGGTGTAACACCGAATTCATATCACAAGTGAAAGTTCATTTACCTTCAGCCTTAAAAATATAATGTGCCAACTGCAACTTTTTATGGAACCAATGCAATTGAAGACTGTGAATTGTTATGACAGACTATTCTTTCACAACGGATGTTTAAGGTGTGAAAAGTTATGCAACATGTGAATACCATAAATATTTCATCAAAACATTTGTACTTCTTAAATGTTGAGTTTTCTAAGCAAGAGTTTTTTTTTTTTTTTTTTAACTGTATTAAAGAAATTCACATAGCATCAATTTTAGCATTTGTTCCTTTTCACAAATTTAGACAAAAGTTACAAAAGATAGCATAAAGTAACCTTTTTTGTCAAACTTATAAATCTTGCACAAGAACAAATAGATAACGAAATAATGAGTTTAGTAGAATATGCCCTTTTCACAAGCTTACAATATCTCTATGGCATATATTCAGACAAAGAAAGTAACCACACATCCAAGGGAACAGCACATAGATAAAAGCAATTTGTTTGGAAGTTTTGGCTCCTCCAAAGAGCAAGAGGGTTTCCAATTTTCTTCTCAAATCCCTCCAACACAACATTCCCTACTGCTATGTTTGGCAGATGGGTTTAAAGAGAAAAAGAAATTCATGCAACCAAACACAACATAAGACAAATCACACGGATTTAATAATCGCGCACTTACTTCCGCGTGAAATGTGAGACTAATGAAATAAGTAATGTCATACAAAACTTCATTAAAAAAAATGGTGGAAAAATTAATCAAACTTTCAAAACAGTATAAATTAAATAAAAAAGTTCAATAATGAAGAAACAGTACGTGGAAAAAATATTTTACCCCACCTGCAGACAAATAAAGATCTGAAAAATACTAATGATACTGTTATTCTACCACAAGCATCAATGATTATTAAATTATTGTATCTGTTTTGAAGTTTAGCAGGAACCGTTGTAATAATTAAAGATTTAAAAGTAACATTTATTAGGTATCATAAATTATTGTGTGAGTTTTATAGGCACCATGGTAGTAATAACTGAAGATTTAAAAGTAGTATTTATGAGGCATCATAAAAGCTTTCTTTAAAGGATATACCAATGAAGTAGTGATTTGACCAATAAAAAACTAATACTATTTAGAAAAGGCATTCAAATGACCACTGCACACTGCAGAGAACAATTCAAGGGGATAAGATCTTGATACCACGGTGAAGATTCTCCGAATGTGTGTTCATATATATGTTTGGTAGGCAAGAAAATACTCTAAAACTGAAGAAAAATGTAGAAAGTTTAAACCTTTGAGGATAAAAAAAGAAAAGAAAAATTACACACCACACGTGTGCAGTTGCTGAAGTGAACATTGCTGATGTTTGCTGAAGGCAAAGAAGAACGACCATGGAAGATATTGCAGTATAGATTTTTACGTTTATTGTTATAGAAAAACATTGAGGATATGTTCTAGTGTTCTGTGAAATACATGAGCAATATTATTTCTAGATTCTGGCAGAGTTAAAATCTCACCTTTGATGATGAGAATATTTTGCAGAAGAGAAGAACACTGGTGTGAATCAGCTAACACTGTCACTGATGAAGGATCTGAAAGCATCTCATGACGAGAGAGTGAACTTCCACCACCACAAATGGGAAGAGAGAAAAACCTTTCAACAAAAACTAGACACACGCACGCAAAGTTGAGGAACACTTTTAAGTGCTTTGCATATGCATATATATTTGAAACAACATAGAAAAAAGGAGAGAGAGAAGATGATGCTATGAAGTGAAAAAGACATACCCCAGAAGCAGAAAACCAGTAGAAAGGCACAAGAAGAGAGGAAAAAAAAAAAAAGGGAGGGGGGGGTTTGAAAGTTTGAATTAAAGCTGTTATGAAGTGTGACACTAGGTGGTGCTTATTTATGAGTGTGCAACTTTCAAACTGGTTGGAGGATGAGAAAGAGTACAAAACAAAAGGGTCATTTTGGGGAAAATGTTTTCCAATAATTAATGTCTAATGTTGTGTGTATTGCTCTCTTGGAAATCTAACTTATACAACAGCTCTTGTCTTTTTGTCACTTTCTCCACAATTCAAAACCTTTCCCACTTTTTTATCATTTTCCTCTTGTTTTCTCCCAACGTTGCCTCCTCAAAACTCTTCATTTCAAAACTCACAACAATTCAAATAACAATAATAACAGTCATAATTTAATCCTATAGATTGAATAAATTAGTTAATTAATTAATTAATGAGAAATGTTTAGTATAAAGAATGAATTTTGCTTTCCATTCAGGTAATGTGTGTATGAATAGACGAAATATCTTCACCAAATTGTCACGTGCCTGACATAGAATCATCTAAGAACAGCGTGGACTTTATGTATTGTATTGGTGATTAATTAACCTTTTTTTTTTGTGACTAAACTTAAGATGATGAATAAAACATTATTTTGTTTGAAGCTTTGTTGTTAACCAAATTTTAAATGAGCTAATTGCAAATTGCAATGGTGTTGAGTTTTAAATTCTTGGTGTCTGTCTCCTATAATTCTACCATAGTTGTTTGACTTAATAATTTATTTAGTCCATTATTTTAAGAAAAAAATTTCCCATTTTATCTTTTGGATGAATTTGATTTCATTATTTTAAGCAAATAATGTATTATCTTCTATAAAACCTGTAAATTATATAATAAAATAATGTAATGTGATACTAATGGTTATGTTATACTAATATATTTGATAGTTTAATTGTGTATTTTTTTCTGAAATTTAGTAATTTTTTATTTTATTTTCTTAAATTGAAAATATTTTAGTCTTTTAAAATTTTAAAAAATATAATTTTGTTCTCTAAACAATTTTCAATGATGAAGATGAATTTTTTAAAACTGTATTTAGTCCTTTAAATTTATTTTTTAAAATCTAAATCTATATTTTTACTTAATTTAAGAGGTTAGTTTTGTTTAAGTTGACAAACTAAAAAAATTGTTTATTCCAAAATTTTAAAAATTAAGTTTGATATATCATTAATAATATGTCATATATTAAGTTAAGTATATGATATTTACATCCAGTGTTATGTTAACAAAAATAATTAAATTAACATTATATTTTTTTATTTTAACGGTGTTAATAGAAGAAAATATATTGGTTCTTAAAAAAATAGATCAAATTGATATTGAAAATACAAAAAAAATATATAAATTAAATAAACCGTTAAACATTATTTTTAACGTAAAAATTTATGATGATATTGAATGCATTTATTTTACAACGGACGAAAGAAAATTAATTTTCATTTGACTTTGACTGGAGTATATATATTAATTTTAATAAATGCGGTTTATTTATTAAAACTAGGTATTTATTAAAATTAATTAATACATAATTATACAGCTCATTACCTAGTAAGAGTAGCACAATTCTATGTTAATTAATTTTTTATATATATCAAATTATAGAAATGAACTTTTCGAGTAAAAAAACTACTAAATTTAATCTCAATTTTCGGTCACACACATTTCAATCCTTTTTCACTTATTTTTATTCATTCAATCAGCATAAATTTTCACTTCAACTAAATATTTTCTATTTTTTTGTTTATATTTTTTCCTACCGTTGTTTTAGTCTTAATTTATATAAACTATAAAGCACAGGTTTTTTTACACATTCATAACGTAGTTTATTAAAGTCTTACGTAATCTATAAAATAGTAAATTGAGTAATATAAATAAATAAGAAATTTATAAATCTATTATCCGAAAATTTTAGATTTAATCGTGACTTAATGATTAATATATTTTTGTATTCCTCTCAAATGTGTAAAATGAAGAGAGAGAGTAAAAAGGTATGATTTTAGGATAGAGATTCACTAATTAAAAATAAGAATTAAAATTTTGTATTTTATCATATTTTTTTAATTCAACAATTTTAAATAATAACTTATTTTAATTATTATAAACAGGAAAATGAATAAATTTCTAATTTTTATTTTTGAAATAATTTTTTGTCATAGTTTATCCCTATTTTTTTCATCAAAAAAATTTGTTATTATATTTTAAAATTGACTAATTTGATCTTTCATCTTTTAAAAATATGTGATTTCATCCATTTTCTATAATTAAATTTAATATTTATTGTTGATAAAAAGATTAAAGTAATTATTTATATCTAAATTTAATATTCAATAATTTTTATTATAAAATTGATAAAAAAAAATCACTAACTTTTAAAAATTTAAAAATTAACTAATACTTTTAAATATAAGAATAAAAATTTAGTTTAACATAAATTTCAAGAATAATCCTAGAAAAATGAAAATGTTGAATTTTAAAATAAGAATAAAAAATGATTTTATTTTGAAGTAGATGGAATGGGAAAAGAGATATAAAAGAAAAAATATAGAGAAAGATAGTAATAAATTTAATGATAAATGAAAAAAAAAGAGTAAAAATAATGATACATACATTTTATTAACTTTACATAATTCACTTTCTTTATAACAAAGTCGTTGAAGTTATCATTTCCTTTTTGGTTTAAAACAGTTTTTAAATTAGATCAACAAATTTTATTTTCTCATCTTATTCTCAAAAAGTTTTTTTTTTTCAAATTTGTTTTTGAAATAAATTTTTAAAATTAAAAAATTAAAACTAAATCAAATATATGAAATTCGTAAGAGTGAACACGATGTGATTTTGTAATTGACTAATAATGGATAACCTAATTAGGTGAACAGCATTAAGTTTATCATCATTATTATTTTAAAATACAGATTTGGATTTAACTAAACAGCATAAAATTAACTTATAAAAACTTATTAATCCATGTAGGCTTTGGCTTCACATTTTTTCATGTGATATAAGATATGTGAAGTTGTGTTAGATGAAACTCATTGGAATTTTAACAAAGAGAAATGAGAATCAAATTCCTTTCCACATGCCTTACCAAATTAAAACACCCTGTTGGAGTTGTCTTTTCCAAACCATGATCGCCTTCATAATTGGATCCATTCTTGGGACCTTCTTCCATTCCAAGGCCCTCCCCTCTCATCATTTCTTTCTTCTCTTCCTTCTTTCATTTTGTTTTTACTTTCTTTCACTCTCCATCACTACTTACTACAAATCTAGTTTTGGGACACAGTTTTGACTTATTTCCAACAACTCACCTAATTAACTGTAATATATTCTTATTTTCTTCTTAAATTTAATAATTATCACCTTTTTTATTTACTTTTTTAATAATGATTGTAAAATGAGTTAGTTTCGACCAATATGCCAACTTCCATAAAAAAACCGTAGGTTAATAGATAATTTTTGTCTATTTCATCTAGTTCGTTAATCCAATAGGACAGATTGATCCGATAACCTACTTTAAAAAAAATTATATATTAAAATAAAAATAAAACTTATTATAATTATAAATATTATATTGTCATATTATTGAAATATAAAAATATATTATAATATTATAATTTTAATTAAAATTATTAATTAATTAAGTTTAAATTATTGATTATAATTAGTTATTTTTAACATGATATAGTCATTTTTAAATTTATCTAAAAAAAATATTAATTAATAAATAAAATTTTAAAAATTATTTATATAATTAAAGATATATTTAAAAAAAATACATATAAAAAAAATATTAACAAACTTATTTATTAGTCCAGAATGAAATTTGTAATCTATCTTAATTATGACATATCAAATCGTTCTATTTTTTGATAATATAAAGAAAAGATTGAATAAAATAAAATGAGTTAATTTGTCATCCTTAATATTTAATCTAGATTTTACGAAGATAAATATAATAAAAATGATTAGAGACAGAAACATGTAGTGATGGAAGCTTACTATTTATTTTATAAATCTGAATTTTAGAATAATTTGTAGTTGAATGGATCTGAATGCAATATTTGGTGGAATGAATGGTGTGGTAGTGTAGCACAAGGTTTTGATGAGAAGGTGAAGATGGGATAGACAAGCACAGGCATGCATGTTTCCTAGGGCAGAACCCTATACATTGTTAAAACACTGCTCTTAATACAAGGTAGAGGACCCAGGATGAGAGCCACATTGCACACTGAAGAGTGTGGTTTGTGAGATGTTGTTGTCATTGGAGTATTTTGCTTCAAAAGAAAAAGTTCCAATGAAAATTTGCATGGAACATAGTGTTAGTTAAAGACGATGCATGTTAGTGGGGAAGGAGGTGGATGAGATTTGTTATGTATACAGAATTTGTGACAGTGCATGTGAAGATTAAATGCTTATCATATCTCTTCAACCACTTCATTGCCCCAACCTCATTATTAGCTCTCTTACTCACCATACCCTCACGCAACACTACATTCACCAATTTACTCTTTCTTTGTAATTTAAAAATTAAAAAATATTTTAAAAATTTAAAATCATGAGACATGAATTATTAATTCATGTATAATTATATGACCCAGATTTATAAGTTTCATTTCTCATAATAATAATAATAATAATAAAGCATTCTCACTTGATACATCTTAAAAGTAATTCAAAAGATTGAAGTAGTTTTGTAGAAGTCGTTACAACTATAGATGACATTGGTGTATATCAGTTTTCCTTTTTAAATTTTGATCCTATGCTACTAAATTATTGCCAATATTTAGTAATTTTTTCAAAAGAAACATGTTTTTCTATGCAAAAAAGGAGAAGTAACGCACTCTCAAGTAAGATATTTCTTTCTAAGATGAATTAGTGGTTTATACAAAAGGTACGATTGAGACATGTTGTGACTCTTGTAAATGAAATTTTATTATTTTGGATTACGATGAGGGACAGTTTGTAGAAAAAGACAGTTCACACTTGATACAGTTGGAGTGAAAGCTTGCATCATAAAAGTCATGCTAAAAGAACGATTTTTTTGGTTTTTTTTATTATTATTATTATTATTTATTTATTAAGTTCACGTGATTCATATCCTCCGATGATTCTACTCTGGCCATTCTCCTTAGGAAAATCTGGTTAGTGATTAGAAAATTCTTTCACAATGCAATTTTGGTTCTTAGAATAATGGAATAGTTTGGCTTTTAATGTCTTTGTCCTCTAATGAACTCTAATTTATCTTCAAGTATAAATATCGCCTAAGTCGACAAACAAAATTAAAACAAACCACATCGTGGCTCCTCCAACAAAAGTGTTTTGTTGGTTGGGAGTTTCTCACATTCAAAAGTCATAAATCAAAATCATATATGACCTACGAAAGAATAATCATCAACGAGAATTGAACCGTGAATAAAATTTTAAAGAAAGTTCTACCCGATTTTCTTTTTCATGTGTCCTGATAGTGCCCATAATTGAAAGAAAGTATTGGTCCTGGACCTCAATATGTATCATATTTGGCAAATGCAATGAACGATTATACACTATCATATCAAATCAGCTGTTATTCATATGGCACAATCACAGGCTATTGCATTAATGATTTTATTTTTGTTAAATAAGCTCTAATGAGTTATTTTGTTTCAGGTGCAAGGAGTCTGACACTGTTTTGACCGGGTATTATGTATTCGGAAACTCAAGATACTTGTGTATAGAAGCGAGTTAATTCACAGGTAGAAGATTTCCGAAAATTGTATTTTCAGTACCATTACTTTCCACTTACATTACCTCGTTCTCAAGCCAATAGTTTAATATACTATATTTTGTTTAAAATGAACTTCGAAAATAATTTGGCAACTGCCAACTTTAATCATTGGGTTTTGGTTAAAAACTACTTTGATTATGAGTTATGGCCTTTAATTATTGGTTTCTGGTGAAGAAAACTACTTTTTGATTATGAATGATAGCCCGTTAATTATATGAACATAAGAAAAGATATCATATGTGCTTCAATATTTAAAAACTAAAAAAGAAAGTAGAATTCTTAGGTGATCAATCGTTTCAATTCTCAAGAGGGCAAGTTGGTTCTGTGGAAGTAGAGAGGCTTAGTGGAGATTCTGGTATTGGTTCCAATCCATTAATAGTATATTTATAGAAACTAAAAATCAGGTTCTCTTTATCGTCTATTCTAAGTCTGCAACTAATAGTCTATCTATCATCATCTATTCACCTTGCATCTATTTCTCTATATCGCACAAAGAGCACAAGGCAAGTGTTCTTGCCCAAAATACAAATTATAATACCCAGTTAACATGAAAAATGTTTCGGCTCACTGATAACAACATGGGAAAAGATAAATGGACCGAATGAAGGTTAAATACAGAACTCAGAAAGAAAATAAACGCAGACAAAAAAAAAAGGAAAAGGAGGGAAAGAAGAAACAGATAAATGAGATGAGAAGTGAATTACAAGTGACAGGTTCAGCTGTGTATGTCTCAAATTTAATGAAATTCACACACAATTCTCCGCATGAATATAGAGAACTGCTTCCCAGGAAATCTTTGATTTTATCTATGCAGGGTGGGGTTGCTCTTTGGGAAACTTCGTTTTAAATCCGATGTCATCCTACCTAAAAAAAACTACCAAATCCACCCATTTACCCAATGTACTAGCTACATTGGAGAGTGCGCTTTGTTACTCAAAACAAGTTCATTCAGACAATTTATACAACGTTTTGCAAAAATTTTAATATCAAGCATACAAGCATAAGTTCTGTGTAGCTCAGATATCAATGAATAGAAACCACAGATAAGTTTTCATGACAGAAATTTAATTCTCTTTCTTCTTCAGTAGTGTCTAAAATGTATCATATTACTGTAAGAATGAAAGTACATCTATCAAAGACTAAAGCTATTTACAGAAATCAATGAGGGGGCCAGGGAGAGAACATTGAACACAAGTAAAAAATGGCATTAAGCAGCAACTTTCACCAACTAGAATCTGTAATTTTCCTTTGACATTTATATATATAAATTCGTGTGGGATGAGATCACTACCTGATCCTTGAACAAATTGCACACGATCAACTTTTCTCGAATTCTCAACATTGTACTCGGCTTGCCAATTAGCCCAGCAAGCATGACCCATTAAAAAGAAAAAATTAAACCAGCACCTAAGACAACCAAAGACTACTCCCAAGAAGCACTCTGTCCACTTGACATGGCTCGAGCTTCAGCCAAAGAGACAGCCATAGCAAGCATCATCTGCTCCTCAAAACTCTCAGGAATAATGGGTTCCGTAGCACTATGAAGGCTTCCATCAATGTCATCAGACTGTGGCAAAGAAGATAGTTCACCACGATCATCTGCTGCAACAGAGTTTGTATAGCTAGTTGCTGGTTCAGTCATCTGCGTCCCATGGTCTGTGTCCCATTCACTATCACACCTAGTCATTGCCACAGTATCATCTGGCGGCTCCTCATTGAGGTTATCAGCAGGTGTATAACTAGCCATCTCCCGACCAAGTCTGTTATAAAACCTTCTAGAACCCTGTAGTGTGTTGAATGATGACATATTTTCATTGGTGAAGCTCATAGATGATTCTCCAGCCATTTGCTGGCGCTCAGCAAGAGCTGCAATAGCACAGGCAAGACCTCCAGACGGAGACGAGGATGATCCCGTAGGTGGACCCGTGGCGGATGAAACATAGCGACCATCAGCTATGTGTCCAGATGTAGCATCGGCAAAAGACAAATTTCTCTGCCTGCCATTCTCCTGTAGTTTTTGTACATATAGAATCAATCACAATCACCAAAAAATCTGCACAACAAATCATTGAGAAGTGCTAATATAGAATTATGTTCACTGAACCTTGTGTGGCAGTATATCCACCATTGCATACCATAATATGCAGATATTAATGTATATTTGAATGGTGGATATCCATCCTACCCTGTATCGACTACACAGTGAACCCAAGTCTACATAGAAATTACTCAAAAAATAAGCAAATATCGGAATTCCAGAGCATGGTTGCATTCCCATGATATCTATCGTTACCCAAAATCATACTATAAAAGATGGCCTTTGTTTTGAACTTTGGAAAGTAAGCTGACAAATGCTAATTTCCATTCAAAACTAATAGATAAAAACTGAAAATCATTTTAGTATGAATAACTTGTTTCGCCAATACAACAAGCATGATTCATCCTTTTGAGATAGGTGTATATATATATATATATATATATATATATATATATATATATATATATATATATATATATATATAGAGAGAGAGAGAGAGAGAGAGAGAGAGAGAGAGAGAGAGAAATTAAATTAGTTTCTAATAATTATTATTCCATCTAATGTTATCAAGAAGCTCAAAATATTGTTATACATGCTAAAAAGGTTCTACACTTTAAATAAATGGTCAGCTCAAAGCTATTAGGTGTAACTAGGACATGAATGAGGGATGAAGTCACACAGACATACCAGCACAACCAGTCAAAATATAAGTGCCTCACATGCTCACACATATTTATTCAAAAGTTATTTAATTCCACGAGTATTTATATATTAGGTATGAACAATGCTACCTAAAACACGCAGAAGAAATAAAGAAATTAAAACATAAAGGATTTTCCTCTGCTGTTATTTAGAAACTACCATTTACACTTGTACATAAGCTGTCAAGTAAGGTCAATTCTGAATACTCAAATATTTCTTTCATTACAAAATAAATTTAAAAAAGCAGAAAATAATGAGTGAGGTACAACAAGACAAATCAAAATATTACACTCCATTGGAAGAATTTCTGTATTTTCCTCACAGTAGCAAATATTATCAGCAAAATAAATTGAAATTGAAAATAAAATTATAGATGTACAGTATGCAGTTAAATGATTTAAAACCAAGTAATGAACCACACAATATTGCAAGTGCATGGGGATATTCAATTCTAATAAATTCAACAATTAATAGCCAACAGGTAGGCATATGCTGAGAAAATCTTCACCTGAATGGAAAGCCAAATTGCTTCCATGACCATAATGTCCTCAAGGTCAACATCAAATTCGTCATCTCTGCAGTTTTCAGCATTTTGGAAAATACAATGTAAGCCCGACAAATAGTTTCCAAAATATATAAAAGAACTCATGTACTCATTTCTATGAACAAACAAGTGTTTATTTTTTATTTAAACAGACATCAGGCTAAAGGACCAATCATAAAGAGATGAAGCTCCACCTCTATAGCACAAATATGGTATCACATACAACATATAATACAGCTATAACATCTCATAAAGCATCACACAGAGAAGCATTCACAACCCCCCATTCAAGTATAGTTGTTTGGTCAAGATTAGTTAGTTCTCACCCAATAATGAATATACTCTATAGTCATCATAAATAGTAGTTGGGCTAATCAATTACTGTCAAAAAAGTAGAGAAACATATTGTCTCTTCAGCAAGGTTTTTAAAAGATATATGCGGAGTAAGAATAAGAGTGTCAAGTTGAATGTCATAAACCTCGCATTAGTCATGGTAGACATAACAGAAGATTGTCATTCATGCAATCCTTATGATATCTCAGGCACATATGTTCTAAAAATAAATACAGGATACAATCATGCAGGCTAGAAGTATTTGATATCAATGAGATATGACAAGGATTGCATGAATGACAATCTTTATGATATTCTTCTATGTACAGATGCTCTAAAATAAATACAGAATACATGACATCTCTCTCTCTTCAGTAGAAACACAAACATAGATACAAGAGATTGAGAGTATATATCTTGAGAGAATTCTATCTTTTGTGATTCATTCTGTAGTTAGTCCTGGCTCTTGTTTGCTTAAAATGTTAAAAATGCATTCATATATTGTTTGTGGCATCTTGATACTTCTGATGTTTGTACTCTTATTCCTTTTCAGAGACTTGAAAAATGGTTAAAAAAATATTGCACTTTATTCATAGTTGATTTGTAATTTCCTTTTATTTGATTTGTTCATTGAGCCAGTGGTTGATTTTGCTGAATGCAAAAAAAATTTGTGCGAGGGAATTTGATCAAGAACTTTCGAGACATTTGATTTGACTCTTGTTAGATCCTAACTATTAACATATTTGCTTAATTGATTATTATTGGGTCTAATTGGACTTAGTTGTTGATCTATGCCTATTTTCAGGTTTATTTTTCACTTTGAGATTATTGTCTTGCATAAGACATAAATAGAGCTACAGAACTTCAATTTGACCAGGTCCAGTGACTATGGAAAGTTAAGGTACATATCTAAAGGTTTGTCTCTAAGAGTCTGGCCAATTCCCATACTTTCAGGGTCAAAAGTCCGCTACAGGTTTCAGCCTCTAACAATTTTTGGACTTTCCTTTATAATTCAAGTTTAAACTAGCAAATTTATTGGGTGGGCCTTTTTGGGCACAGAAAACTCTTGGATCCAGCAGCCTATTAGCAATGTAGTAGTATAAGTTAGTTACTTAGGAATCAGTTAAGCCATTTGTAGTCATTTTTATAATTTCAGTTTCTTGAATCACAAATTTCTTTCCTTTTCTCTGATTTTTCATTCATTTTCTTTGACATTTCATGCTCTTTTTTTTTTCTTCATTTGTTCTTCCAAGTTTGATGATTTCTATGGAAAAAACTAGAATTGTGTTCCATGCACAAATGTCTTACTCATGCTTCTTTCACTAATGGTTCATCCATATCAATGGGTGTGTGTTCAAGATGATGTATACAAGATAATACCAATAGGTCCGAAAGTCCAAAACTACCAAACAAAAGCAAATTGTACATCTTTACTCATGACTGCTACTAATAATGTAAAAGATGCTAGAGTATGGAGGCAAGGGGAAAAAAACCACTTTACCCCACACACTATTCTCTTGTGTGTGTGTTTTTTTTTATTTAACATAGGACCAGAAAGCATGCAGTCAACCTACACAAATACAGAGTTGATATCTTTTTAAGGAACTTCAGCCCCAAAATATTTCATCTGAGCCCTATAAAATTTGAAACTGCGCCCAAGACTCAGATTCCTTGAATTGGCCAGCTATTGTTGCGACACTATCAATGAGTTACACTATGCATCTAGCAATTTCATTCATCTTAAGGAGTTAGAATTGTGTTTCAACTGAAACATAGAAATGAATTTTAATGAGAAAAGTAGGGATTCCATATTGCAATCATTTGACAAAGAGTTGATGAAGGTAATAATTGTCTCAACATATGAAGGTGGGTCAAAAGCCAGGTGAACTCTATAACATGTTTAGCATAAAAACTGACAACTTGAAGGTTTATCCAGGACAAGCGACTCCACTTTACGATACACATGCAAGTTAGGTTCTCAATGACCAGAGATACAATGCAAGAGAGAAAAGGGTAAACAGCAGGTAAATTAGATATTTTTTTCTGAAAGATATAATATATACTAACTTGTACTATTACATAATAAAACATTCATGACGTAATATTTTTTTAATACATTATTAAATTTGTATTCTCTGTCCAAATTTTTTTTAATATTATAGAATCTTCTCATGAATTCAGACTCAAGACATGAATTGTATATAGTACAAGATTCAGTTTAAAAAATGGTTATCATACAATGATAAGATAACTAAATAATTGCCTGTTAAATATTCTACCTCTTAAATCATTGCATCCATTTTACTTTTTTTCAATTCAAACTATGGACATGAGCAGAAATAAATCCAAGTAGTTACAAGTAAAACTTTCAAAATCTATTCAAGAGGAATGCTAGAAAAACTTCTCTAACACACACACACTAATATTGGTTAAAAAAATTTAATACTTCAAATTTAGGAAAGTGACTAGTTAAATTAGTATTGAGACCAGCAAAAAATTGTAATTTTCAATAAATTTTAACAAATATTAGAAAGTGTGATCAGCAGAGTATGTTAATGAATGTGTTGCTACTATTTCTTATCTATTTAACAGCAAAAAAGGAAAAAAGTTTATCTAGCTTTTCCCTTTACTTTGCCTTCTCCTTAGTACAAGGATATTGGAGTTCAATGAAGGAGGGTTTATTATTTCTTAAACTCTAAACTCACAAGTGTAATGACAAATAAAAGCATCACTGTAATTTGATTCACTACTAAAAAAAGAATAAATCTAGGATCACATAAAATCTGTATTTTGAATACTCCTTTAAAAAGGCTAGTCACTGATAAGATTTGTCCATCTAAGCAACTCATCCTTTCTTGCACATCTAGCCTTATTCATGCATTGAATCAAAACTTCTCAAGACTTGCACCGGCTCAAGCTGAGATACTGAATGAAAACCAAGGAATCAAATAATAACTAACTTACTACACCAATTTCCCTCTTCATCTGCTGTACCAGATAAGCAATTATGATTCATAAAATAAAACATTCATTAACAAATAATTATATAAATTCTAGTTGGAAACAAAAGAAAAACTGAGAATATTTCGTTTCAATTTCCATAAAAAAAATTAAAGATCTATTGCCTTTTGTTGGAAGTCTCACATCGCCTACCTCATGTCATTTGGTATGGTTTAAATACATGTTAGGCTACTCCACATATTGCCAATTGGTTTTATGTTGGAACCTTAACATGGTATCAAAGCCAAAACCTAACATCTTTCCGGTTATTGTCATGGGCCAAAAGTTGCTCTTTAGTTGGGTCAAAAATACTCTTTGCCTGGTCCGGCAGGCTTCGTTGGAGGGGGCGTGTTGGAAGTCCCACATCACCTACTTCATGTCATTTGGTATGGTTTAAATACATGTTAGGCTACTCCACATATTGCCAATTGGTTTTATGTTGGAATCTTAACACCTTTCTTGTTCAATAAGACTATCACTTAAAAATTGCCACAATATAAGTTGAGAGCATTCAATTTTCCTCTCTATGAGCTAATATGATCAAGGGCTTACTTATAGGGATTTAAATTAAAACAAAAGCCCAATGAATAACCTGAACTCAGCATCTTTCAGGGAATGGTTTGGAGTTAATTTTAATTCAAGTGATAGTCCGTAGTGGTAGTTAGAATAGCCATACTAATTTCTAGACCCTAGAAATACAAAGTGTTCTATTAGTTAATGATATGAATTCAGCTTACATATGGACTTATGCCCTTCACATAATTAAATTTACTCAAGTTAAGATTATAATGAGTCCATAATCTCCAGGCATAGAATAGGTACACTTCTCATAACCTTATTGGTCTAAAGCGCCAACGCACTATAGGCACCGGATAACAGATGACTGGCTCAATTTAAACATGACTGAGAAGAATATTTTCGTTCATTCTTAATGGACTCAAAATTTAATTAATATAGTATAATCCAACTGGTGCAATATTCATGGGAAAAGATAACATGCCAAGGGTTTGCATTCAGGTTCAAGCAATGTTAGATAAAGATTTATTACAGCAACTCATTTTCTTCCCATTGTTGATTTAAAGATTTAATACCCTAAGTCGGTGGAAGAACATTGGATGCAGCAAATGCTAAGCGACATAATAAGAAAAATTTAGGAAATTACAGGGGGAAAAAGCAATGAAGGCTAGCATACCTATTGGTCCTAGTGGTTGCATTTGGTCTAACCATTGATGTGGCACTTGAGTCTTGAGAAGAAACAATTTCATCACGTTCAACAACAGACATTGAAGATGCAGACACTACAAGATTGAAGCAAGAATCATTCTTACAACTTGGATTAGTCACACACGTATATACAGATAAAATTCAGAACTTTATCGAAAGATTACCTGCATTTGAACTGTTGTTTGAACTGTATTCAACGTCTGCAACTGCCACATTCACATTCGAGGAGCTCATTTCTAGTCTTTTGTGCATTTTGTCCTCTTCATCCTGAAGTTCCTGCTGCCGCATCCTAATTTTTGCCTCAATAACACGTTGCTCTTCCTGAATAATTGTCAGAATAATAATTATGAGAATGCACATGAACTTGATTCCTGATGAAAACATTTCTGATGCACTACTAAAAACAATAATCATGTTAACTAACAACTTACAATCTGCTCCAATCCCTTCTCTTCTTTTGATTTCACACCACGATACTCAACTGCATAATTTGCTGTTTTGCAGAAGGGACATCTTAGCTTGTTAAGGCAAGCAATTATTTAATATTAAAGCAGTAAGAAGGCAGTTGTTAGTCCAACAATTATGAGTTATGTGTTCATATTGAAATCAAACAACTAGTAATGCAGGATACTGTGTAGGTCGAGTGGAATTTGGAACTTTCATCTGTAAAAAGCACTCTGATAAAATGAAAACAATCAGGTTCCGTGCAAATGCTATAGACACAATATATACCCAATGAAGATAAACCAAACAATTACCTGTACAAATGCTCTTTGTGCAACATCTTGATCGGTTTAGACTTGGATAATACTAAATTAGGGAAAAAAACAAAAGATAACGGAATAGGGTGATTAGAAAAGTCACATGTGATCTTGAAATAAACTTTAACTAAACAAGAACTAAATCAGTCCAGAAAATAGTCTCCATCAGTTTGTTTCAATTCCAAAGAAGTCAATAAAATAAATCATTAAATCCAACAAAGGTGACCCAGAGGTCATATTTTGCAGTTCCAAATAGGTGTTCACATTTCAATTGACTTATTTATTCATTAAAAAAAAAAAAAAGTAAATTGACAGGATAAGTGGAGAGAAATAGAAAAGATATAAATGTATGCTATAGAAACCAGACCAGAAAGCAGATAGGGCACTCTTCCCGGTCATAGGCACTTTCTTCATCTCCAGGATAGCAAGGTGCTAGCTTTGATTCAAGTATTAGCTTCCTCAGCTTCTTATGATCCACATCCTTATGATTATACAACCCCTGAGGTCTTGTATATTTCTCATCTACCACTTGTCTCCTCCTCCCAAGTTTATTACCCATCAATAAAATTCAATTTTTTTTTGTCTGTGGCCTATGTGCCAAACTCTTCAACAAAATAAACCAACACAATAACAACAACAAAAGTAACAAACCTTCCTCTATAAAAACCACTCACTCAACATCACAAAATAATCTGCACTCAAAACCAAATTGAATTAACTGAAACACTCACTCAACCAACATAACAACAACAACAATCAAAAACAGTCTAATCCCCCATCTACGACCCAATCACAGACAACAAAAATTTCATTATCCTCCAATCAATGGCAGATACACATCCCAGAATCCTGAGGCAGTGAATAAAGAATGCAGATACATAAGCAAAATCACCAAAATCAACAATAAAAAAAAAAACTCCACAATTTGCAATAGAAACACTGAAACTAAATCATTTTCAAATTCCACACAATTCATCTTCAAAACAAATTGCATAATGCACCCGAACACCCAACCAAACCGAATCACAAAACCGCCAGTTCAAAATCCGAACTCACAATTCACCACACCAAAAAGGAGAGTCACAATCTCGCAACCAATAGGAAACCGCAGAGCAGGGAACTCATTGTTAGGAACGAATTTAAATTGTCATTCAGCGAAAGCTATGGGAGCAAGAACCCTAATCGAAAGAGTGGGGAACTCCAATTGGGGAGACAAACTCATTGGGGGAGAGCAAGAAACTCAATGAAAAAGGGTAAAGAGAAGGAAGAAAGTACCAATTGGTCGGAAACCTAAAGTTGCAGAAGTGAAGCAGCACTATTTCTTCAGGACGAAGAAGCAGATGAAGTTGATGGAAGGGTTTTGGGTGAAAGAGAATAAAATGAAGAGAAGAGAAGAGCAAAATTGGAATAGGAAAACAAAGGTTAAAATGTTGCAGAAAAGAGAGAAGAAGAGAAGAGAAGAGAAGAGAGGGAAGGGAAGGAAGGAGTAGTAAAGGAGCAAAGAATAATCTGCTTCAGTTCCTTCCTATGCCAATGTCACTCACTTGCTTTCACGCGCTTTCCTCTAGAGTCTCTTACCCGCCCTATTTTTATTTTTAGTTTTATTATTATTATTAAAGAAAATAAATGTTAAAAGCAAGGTATTGTTTAAATGTAAGTAAATAAATATAATAATATTATTATAAATATAAAACTGAAAAAATAAATCTCAAATGTTGTTTAAATCACATAGGACGTACTAATTTTTTAAAAATGATTTCTACTATTTAATATTATTAATAAATTATTATAAAAAATCTTAAAGTCTTAATATATATAAACTATTAACATTTTTATTTTAATTTACATAAATTTATTTTTATTTTATTAAATATTTATTTTTATTAAATTATATATCAATTTTAATTTATTTTTATTTTTATTATTGAATCAATTTTAATTTTTATTATTATTATTATTTTCTATTTTTCAGTCCAAAGTTAAGATTCAACAGAAAAATAATTTTTTTAAATATATATATATATATATATATATATATATATATATATATTAAATTGCAACCCTCTTTTTAAGGTGTTGTTTTAAAAAAAATTATTTTTAAAAGAAAAAATGATATATATATATATATATATAATTTTTTTAATTTATATATATATTTTTAAAAAGTTGTTAATTTTATTTCTACTATTCAAACCTCTTTTGAGGTGTTTTTTTAATTTCATTATACTATTATAAGTAGATTAGAAAATAAAACCCACATGTTTAAAGTGAATTAATATGCACAATATTTAAAGTTGAACTAAAACATACAACCTTTAAAGGTAAACTGATACGTAAATTCATTAAAGGATAAAATGATAAATTTTAACAAATTTTAAAACATCAAATTGGTAAGTTTACTCATTAAAACCTGTTTATAAATACTAGAAAGTATATGAAAGCAGAAAAAAGTTATTAAAAAGTAATTTATTATTAATTTTTAAAATTATATACATATAATTTTTTTATTGATATAATATACTTAATGGGATAAATTCTTCTATTTAATCACGTGTTGTTAGATTAAAAATAATTATTAATTGATTAAATAACTTAATAACTTATGTTTCTTTTACATATTAGTATAGTAGATTCAATCCGTTTTGTTATTTATTTATAATATATTATTTTACCGTTAATCCGTCAATGGAGGGAGATAAAGATATATTAAGTCTTACATCAAAGTAAATTTTTTCTTGAACTTCCATAAAATTAAAAAAATTCTTTGAGATGAAAGAGGGGCCACGCAGAGGATTGGGTGAGCATGTTGTTATTAAGTCATATTCGTAATGCAAGTGGGCATAGATGGCCAAAGATTTTGTTCCCTTCTTCTTGTATATTGTGCTATTTCATACATCATATAGTTTCAAATAGTTGACCTAAAACTCTGCAAAATGATGACTCGTGTCCCAAACCTTCTTTTATTTTAACTTTACACACCAAAACAATTCCTCCTTTCATCATTCTTATTTGTTATCATTCATCAGGTTTATACTTGATTAAAGACACAATCCAACAACTGTCTACTATATATAATTATAATGTAGGGACCTTTTCCTTTTCTTTTTGTTGCACCAACATTTGGTAGATCATGAACAATTTTAAATTTCTCTCATAAATTAGTCTTGTATATTTTTTGGGTAGATGATGAACAATGACTCTTTTTATTTGTAAATATATAGTTTTTTTAATGATTGAGAAAATGTCAAACTGAAGAATAATTTATATATTTATTGGTATTGTTCTTTTTAAGTATAAGCTTTAATTGCAATTTTCATAACAGTTTTTAAAATCACAATTTTATCTTCTTTGGTTGCAGAGATATATCTAATTATTTAATCTTTTAAAATTAATAGTTTTAATAAAAATTGTCAAATTAAGACAATAATTGGTTCAAAAGAAAATGTTAATAACAGAGGCTAATTGGTTTGACATTTTGTTGAACCAAACATGGGAATTTGTTCCTGGAAGGTGCAACTATCATTTTGTTTTACATGTATATTGTTTATTAGTGTCTTGTTTGTCCTACAGAACCATACCCTAACTTTTTCTTGCACAAGACTTTGATGTCTCTAATCTTTCAAATTTCCATGTCAATTTATTAATTACCTTATCATTTCACATAACCCCTTTTCATTTAGCATACACATGATACTAATTTGTTATAAATTCTAATTTATGGCCAAAGTCTAAGCACCAACATCGTACAATGCCTTTTTATCCCAAAATGCTTGTCCTACAAATATGATTTGATGAGTTCGGTGTTACCAATCAATGATTGGTGGTCATTATCAAGTTGAGATGAATTTTATTGAAACGAGATATTTATTATAATCAGGTGTAAATATAGATAATTTTTTTTTAAATTTTATGGTTAGTAACACAATTTAGCACTTGGTTATTATCGATCTCTGAATTATACTACCTGTTCTAGAAACAATATTTTTATTTGTTGAGAATAAAGATAATTTTTTTATATAAGAATAAAACTAAGTTACATTACCATAGATAAAATAATGTCTCAAACACAATTTTTTTACTCTCTATTATTATTATTATTATTATTATTATTATTATTATTATTATTATTATATTCAAGAAAAACCAATATACAAAAATTATCCTTATTTTTAATGATTTTTCAAAATTTTCATATTCTTATTTATTAATAAAAACACATTTTCATAATATTTAATAAAAGTAAATAAGGAAAATAGAATTTAATATTTCATAAAACTTAAAATATTTTACAAAAAGAACCACCAATTTCTTCTAAACTATTCATAAGGGTGGGAAGAGTAATAATTATATACCAAGAAATAAGTTTAAAAAAAGGACAATATTTATTATAAATAAAATAACAATTTTTTTTTTTAATAAATAGAGACGAAGGTAGCAGTATTCTCTTACATATCACAATCTTTTTCAATATTTGTATGCATTTTATAAATATATTATATGTGTAATAAAGTGTGGATATGTCATTATAAAACGATGTTATGTTTAGCACAAGTTTTGCATAAATAATAATTTAATTGCTATGTAAAAATACGATGGTAAAGAGCGTAAAAAAAACTTACATAAATAAAAGGTGTGTAAAATTTAAAACTTAAAAAAAAAGAATAAAATAGATGATAAAATTTATAAAAAGTTGATAATTAAGTGATAAAATGTTAGATTAGACGTAACTTTACATAAATTTTAACAAATAAAAAAAATACGTGTTTCAATAAAGTATCTTAAAAAAATTTCAATCATTTATGGTTGGTTCAGTGATGGGTTATTGAGAGGATTATGTATACATAATAATGGTCAACCAAGTTTTGAACCATCATGATGCATGATCACTTCTTAACCTTTCTGGAAACTTTAAAAGAATTGAAACTCCACCCACTTCTTCGTTATAATTTAAAAATGGCATTTCATACGTTGTCACACTCGTTTGTTTCATTAATGTTCCTGCACAACTTGTTTTATATATATAATTTTAAAATTATATATATTTTAAAAGATTTTTTTAAATTTTATTATTTTAGTGTAATAAAAATGAAGATGCACACGTGTTTTGTTAGTATATGTAGAGATGAAATGACAGTAGGTGTTAAATTAAATTTTAACACAAAATTTAGCCTATTTCTAATTAATCTCTCCCTCTTCACATATAGGCTTGTGCTTAGAGAGAAATGAAAAGTAAATAAATATATATAAATCATTCAATCATACATGTTAGTCATGATTCAATGAAAATACAATTTGCTTAGAGTGATTATGTGATCATTAACTAACTTGTAATGAATCGTCAAAATTAAATATTAATACATTTGATAATTTAATCATACATGCATAATTGTGATTAAATGCAATATTTTTTTAAAGTGATTATTAACTAACTTATAATATCGATTATATATATATATATATAATATATATATATATATATATATATATAATGAATGGTCAAAATTAAAGAAAAATACATATGATAATTTAATCATATATTCATAGTCATGATTAAATGAA